TTCCTGTCAAAAAGCTCGTCACTCGTTAACAGAACAGGATATTGAGCGAGGAAACAAGAAGAGAGATGGATGCGACAAGAATGTATACTCCACAAAAAAATTTCAATAATTTCGTTCAATCAGTAGTTGATGCGAGGAGACAAGGAGATGAAGACCCTATCAGGAATTGTTGCAGAAACAATGAAACTTTTAGGTAATTCCTCCAATGGATATCAGATCACTGAAAGATCCAGGCATACAATTACGAAGTATCTGAACAATGAGAAAACTCATAAAACGATCAACGAGACATTGTTTAAAAGATTAAATACAGTTGAAAAAGACTTGTAGGAGGTGGAGTTGTTGAAATCAAACATTGAGCACCGAAAACCCATCATTGTTGGTTTTCTCATACTTCAGTATGCAAAGCTGAGAATGTCGGAACTCTACTATAACTTCTTTGACAAGTTCTGTGATGTAAATAAATTTGAAGAGTTGGAGATGGACACAGACTCACTTTACTTAGCTCTTGCGGAAGAAAATTTATACGACTGTATCCAACCAGAAAAAAAAGACATTCGGGATAAAATGAGGGAAAATGACTGCAAAGACACTTTCCAGGCAGATGCAAAATCTAATATCTTCCCTCGAACGTGATGCAGTATCCAAAACAAGCATGATAAGCGGGAGCCAGGATTTTTTCAAAAAGGAAATTAGGTGTACAGAAATGCTATAACAACTTATTGCTGATATGACAACAAAACAGACAAATTCAAATTTAACAGCAAAGGATTAAACAAACGAGTTCTAGAAGATTCTGGAGATCGACCCATGTCAAACTACAGGAGACTGCTCGATGAAGCAATCAACCTTACATCTACAAATAGAGGATTCAGAACTATAAATCATATGGTGGCCACATGAGCAAACAAAGAAAGGACTTAGTTATTTTCATCCAAAAAGACTAGTTCAAGATGATGGAATTCATACAAAACCATTGAACTTATAAGAGCTGATGCAATGTAATAAGTTTCTAACAAGTGATGCAGTGTATTAAATTTTTGTACGATGCAGTATTTTGTTCGTGTTTTATTATAAAGTTGTGGTAAATTTCAAATACGATGCAGTGTTTTATATAATTTCTTTGTAATTTACTTTTTTTTCTCAAAAATTTGACTTTTTCCGAAGTTTCAGTACGTTTCAGCTTTGCTTCAAGTAGATTGAAAGTAGATTATCCAATAAATTAGGTCGAATTAAAGCTAATCTTATCGTGTTTTGAAGTTTTTTTTTGAAATTTACCTAAAAACTCTTACCATTGACTTACTATGTACCAGAAAAACTAATTAAAAGACCTTCATTACACAATCTACACGTAATTAACCTTTAATATTTACAAATTAGATAACACGCGCCAAAAATTTCGCGAAGAAAAATTAGACATTTCCACTCAAAAACCAAAAAAAATAATTTTTTTTAGCATTATCTTACCATCACACTAGCCATGAAACCTTAACATCGGTATTCCCTACCTTAATACATTGTAGACTCTATACCCAACCTTATAACACAGCATGGCTGACCGGAAATCTATAAGGTATCTTAATACATAGGGTCAGCCATGCTAACCCCCCCCCCCCCTGATCACCTCAAACATCTACTACTCAAATCATATCTCAAGTTCTGCATTTCAAAAAACTTCAATGAAAATTAATTGAAAGCAATATCATTAACAACTGATACAACATCACTAAATTATAATATGAGTTTTCACGATAGAACAGCTAAAACAGTTTTAACTCAACTCATGCATACATAAGAAAATCTAACCAAAACTACAACACTTAACCAACAAGATTTTTCAACAGCATCAAATTTAAACACCATCAGATTAATAAATACTGCCCATAGATCCAACAATCATCATATCACATAATAAGAAGAACATCCCGTTTCCACAGACGAAATTACAATCAACAGCTAAACCAACTGTTTTACCCAAATACTCTCAAATGGATCATCAACAACACAGACCAAAAACTAATTACAATCGACAACCACCTAAACGTACAAATTCACATTCAGTTAGCTTCCATGACAATAGGAACACTCTGATAATTACCCATTTTCAAAACAAATTAGAAACAATATGACGTATTTAACGAACAGAACAGCAGGAAAAATCAAAATCACTTCTCAGGCGTTGAATATTGTTTCCACAGAAATCAACAACAACCAGAACAGCAACAAACAACAACAATAACAACTACTACAACAAATTTTTTTAATCACAGTAAGCAACGGAATAATGATAACGATCCAGATGACAAACTTCAACCAGATATTTTCGAACCACACCAAACAACTAAAATTCCTAGAAGACCTGATTTACACCAGCAACTCATAACATACAAACACAAAACCCAATCTATACTTAAGGCTACCAACCAGAAGCAATGAGAATTGAAATAATGAATGTTCAGGGTCTGTTCTTGTGAGAAGCATTAGTGGTTTGTTTGATGTTATAGATGATACACCGATAATGCATGGATTCATCGTCATTCGGAGTGATTCCACTTTATTAGGTAATTCAGTGAAATTTGTAAGTTGATTTCGACTAATTTCATGTTGTAAATATTTTGGTTCTGGTATTTCATTTCTCTTTGCTTCTGGTTGGTAGCCTGATTTTTAGTTCTTTGGTGTGGTTCAAAAATATCTGGTTGAAATTTGTCCAACCAGATATTTTTGAACCACACCAAAGAACTAAAACTCCAACAAGACCTGTTTTACACCAGCAACTCATAACATACAAACACAAAACCCAATCTATACTTAAGCCACAAACCAGAAGCAATGAGAAATGAAATACAATAACCATATTATTTACAACATGAAATTAGTCATAATCAACTTACAAATTTCACTGAATTACCTAATACAGCGGAATCACTCCAAATGACGAAGAATCCATGCATTATCGGTGTATTATCTATAACATCAAACAAACCACTAACGCTTTTCACAGGAACAGACCCTGAAGACTCGGTTGAAGATTACGTAAACGCTTTTACAGCAACTAAAATTTTATATATAGGCGCAGAACCTATACAGAAACTTGCTTAAAGAAAAATGATAATACTGAAATGTACAAAATAACCGGCTCCAATTCAATAGAGCTCTAGAATAGACCAGATGAGGAGGAACAATGATACAATTCAAAGATCAAATAATTCGAGTCGACCAATTGGGGGCTAGTTTAGCTGAATCAATAGCCATTACTGACGAGTTCACTTGGAAAAGTCTCGTATGAACCATTTTATACTTTATTTTATACTTTATTATTTTATACTATATTTTATGATAACAAATTTGCCCTTAGATTCAGCAATATCTCAAACCCGTGCATTGATCATTTTATAGTATGAAATAATAATTTCTGACCATTATGGAACGAGCTCAAAACAAGCATTTTTTATATATCTTGATATTTATCACTAAAAATTTTTAAAATTAATCAATCTTGATCCATTACTTAGGCTTACAATAAAAAGTACAGCTGAAAATAATCATTGTTTCAGCCAGAGAAAACATAAGATAGATTGAAATCAGTTGTTTTCTTCTTTCCTCTAACTTAGCAAGAATACCAGTATATACTAGAACTATTGAGACTAGGAAATGTATGAGAAAGATTCGGATCGGTATTAGACAAAGAAACTGTATGGTTATCCGGCCAAAAAAAAGATTGCGTGTCGAACAGACGGTGTACCCTATCCGAAACTACTCGACGAGAAGGCCACCCCGGACCTAAACTCAGAATAGCAATCTACTTGTCTTCTAACTATACCTGAACATTGTGGATTGATTTACTTTTCTCCAACCCTCGATCTTATATCGATCTCCATTTAAGTAAGATTAAACATAGAAAGCGCCACATATGTTTGATAGCAGTAGAACATCATTCTAACGAATTGATATACTCTCTCCTCAACCCATCCCCCGAGGAATAGGGTAACATTCACAAAAAGAGTAAGAACTAACAGTTTAAATATAGACTATTAACACCTAGATTTTGCATCAACCATTCAAACACTCATGTCAAAATCTAGTCCAGCAAACAAACAAACACTAATTTTCGTAGAAAAAAAAACAAAAAACAAAACTTCAAAACTCAACAAGAGCAATGTCAATTTTTACAAATGATGTTTTTTCAAAAATTTACAGCTATGTCTCCATCTTAGTTACAGACAAAGTATGTTTCGTATCGCCACCACAAACATCACGACATACGGCAGTAAGAACAGAAATTGATCTAATTACACATTTTTAAATGCAATTCGCGAAACATTTTTGATTTAGTTTACAATGATACTGTATAAGTCCTATTGCGCTTACGTCGTGGTCTGACAATAGTGAGCTCGTATTTAACTCGAATTTCAAAAAAAGATGTTTTTAATTCTTTTTTTAAATGTCAAAAACATAAGTCTGAAATCATCACTACATAGTGCAGCCTTAAACTAACCTTAATATATTACTAACCTTGATATATTCGTAAAAATAAGAAAAATCCTAAACATAAGTAACTAAATTTAAAAAATAATTATAATCATATTAATAATTTTAAAAGAGTATATTTAAGAACAAAAATTATAATCTTTACTTTCAAGAGTAGACTCTCAGTGCTACTTACTTTGCCCTTCGTCTATCCTCTCTTTAGTCATTTTCGTTCTTAATAATGTTTGCTATAAGACTTTGGAAAATTTCGAGCTATTTTTGGAATATTTCAAGCTATCGAACAAATAATTTCGAGGAAAATATATATTATTTAGAGCTTGAATAGCTTGAAACCACAATGTTCATCTTTCTGATTTAAAAAAGACTACAACACACTCGAAGTCAAAAGTTCCTCCCCATTTTCAATGGTCGGAACCAAAACTTTAAGATGCCGAACCTAAAAATGTCACAATCAAAATTGACATATCACAAAGTCTAATCGCCGATGAGTTACCAAAGAACTTCTGCCTAACCTGTTCAACGGGCTTGGAAGCTTTTGAAGATGTCACAGAGCCGGCATCTGAAAGGACATGAACATTGATGGTTATCACCAAACGTTACAAAATCAATCACTTTACAGAGGTGAAGCAGAGCTTCGCACCGCTTGCGATACATAATATAATTTCCATAACTTTGTCTTGAATAATATTCACCTAGGAAAAATGCAGTTACATTTGCATAGAAACAAATCGGTAAAAACCGACAAACGTTGATCCACGAAAAAAGATGTGTGCAAACAAAGAAAAGAAATAAGCAGACGAACTATAGTCTAAAAAGCAGAAGCTTTCTAGTTTGAAAAAATACATAGCCAACAGACAGTTGAAAAAGAGTCAATGATGCAAGGAAACAAAAAAATTGTGAAAAGAACTTTTGTAAAAATTTCAAATTTCAAAATCAAAAAAGATTGACTTCAAGAACAATTTATGAAAAGCACTTTGAGAAAACCGGATCAATAGGTAAAGTTTTTATTCCTCTGTGAAATATGAAAATTGAATTCCAATTCCGACACTAATTCGATCCCGTTTTTCATGACTTTTACATTTTTAATATTCGATAGAGGAATTTGCCCTCCTTATAAAAGAAATCAGAATTCAAACCACGAAAAATGAAATTGGAGTCAGAACAAATTTTAAGACTTATAAAAAAACATCACGACCTATTCAAGAGTCTGAAATACGTTCATCAACTCGTAACAAGTCCTCGAACCACAATCTTTTGTCGTTGATAGACTCAGCTACGCCAGATGTGGTTGATTGATTTTGAATTTATTATGAAGCAAGATGAAACAACTGGGAAATCTTGTGAACCATGTTGTTTGTGGGAAAAAAGTCTGATACCTGGTTAAAACACCCTTGCTTATCGCAAGGGTAAATGGTTAAAACTCACCGGAAGTATCGGGCACGCTTGGTTTAGACTTTCCATCTGACTGGAGCTAAGCATAAGAATATAAATAAAAACAGCAATTTGCAGATTCGAAAACAGCCAACAGATGGTTGCAAAAGTGTCAATGAGCTCAAGAAAAAGAATCTCGATGAAAATTTCAATTTCAAATCTCGATGGACGCTCGTCGGGCGGAAAAAGCGATTAGGAAGGGGTAGAGGCCCCTTCCGGGCAAAATTTTTTTTTCAATATGTACCCTGTCCTTTTCGGAAAATAATTGCCGTTTTGGAAAACTTCCGGTTTAATCTTTCTAATTTTTTGCGTGCGGCCCTGAATTGACTAGATAATGGTAGTTTGTTGCTGTCACTTTTCGATGGTTTTATTTTTAAGACCATTTTTCCCACTTTTTTGAGTTAACCAAAAAGGTGTTTTTTCAACTTTTCTCAAAATAGCTTATTTTACGACTCTTGTCATCGAAACCATTCTGAACAGATTCATAAAGTGTGGCTTAGTGAAATAATTTGATTGGAACAACTTTTTTTGACTTCTTGAAAAAAAATTGATTTTTAACGTTTCTAACTCAACGTTCTTTATCAAAGAAATAAAATTGTTCAAAAATGAGAAAAAGTGAGTTTTGATGATTTATTTGAGCTTGGCATAGTCGATTTAGTAGGTAACAGAGTAGTAAAGTATCAAAATTGGTTAAAAATTGTGGTTTTTACAAATTTTTTTCTCTTGTCAGTTACCACTATATTACTACAAATACTAATAGCCAAATTCCGAAAAAAAGTCTCGATCTCAAAAATGGCTTGTAAATGTGTTCTAATTTTTTTTCATCCGGCCATGAATTGAAGAGATAATGGCAGTTTGTTACTGCAACTTTTCAATGGTTTAATTTATAGGACCATTTTTCCCACTTTTTCAACTTTTTGAGTTAACCAAAAAGGTGTTTTTTCGACAGTTTTTTCAAACTGGGTTATTTTAACGGCTTTGGCCATGAAAAGCATTCTAAACAAGTTCATAGAGTGTGGCCAAGTGAATGAATTAGGTTGGAACAACTTTTTTGAGAAAAATTGATTTTTCACGTTTCTGACTCAACATTTTTTATCAAAAAAAAAGGAAATTGTTCAAACGTGAGAAAAAGTGAGTTTTGATGGTATATTTGAGCTTGCCATAGTTGATTTAGTAAGTATAGAGTATTAAATTATCAAAAATGGTTATAAATTGTTTACAAGTTTCTTTCTGTTGTCACTTACTGCTTTATTACAAATACTAATAGCCAAATTCCGAAAAAAAAGCCTCTTTCTCATAGTTGGCTCGCAAAACTGTTCTATAATTTTGCATGCGACCCTAAATTGACACTGCAATCATACCCTATTAAGGTCATATTTCGATCCTATAGGTTTGAAGACTTCTTTACCCGGTTTTTCAACTTTTTTGATTTAACCAAAAAGGTGTTATTTCGCCTTTTCTCTGAATATGGAAATTTTACGGCTATGGTTATGCAAACCATTCTGAAGAGGTTCACAAAGTGTGGCTTAGTAGAGTAAATTGAATGGAACATTTTTTATGACTTTTTGAAGAAAAAAACTGATTTTTAACGTTTCTGACAAAATATACAAAAATGTTCAAAAGTGAGAAAAAGTAGGTTTTGATGGCATATTTGAACTCCCCATTGTCAATTTAGTGAATATAGAGTAGTAAATTGCCAAAATTTGAAAAAATTGTAGTTTTTACCTTTTTTCGAATTGGATTTTATCTTAGATGTTAAAGGCTACTACAAATACTGATTATTATTTTTTTAAATTTAGTAATTTCAGAAACCCATGCGTGAGATTGTTCTTAATTTGCGGCCCTGAACTGCTCTTTGGACCATTTTCTAAAAGTGAAAGAGTGTTGAACGGCAAAGTCGACCAAAGTTGATGTGTTTATTTTTCTTACATTTTTCCTTTGACCCTTACGGGATGCTCCCTGGGACCCCTGTGGTCCCATGCGGGGAGCATCCGTTACGACCATCAAAAATAAAAAAGATAAAGTCAATTTGTTACTTTTCTTAATCTGTTTTGCATAGCGCAGAGGTGTTGGCAGTCTCTTTTCATTCGTAAAAATATTTGATTATAGAAAAAAATGTCGGGGAAGAACATTAACTAAACAACGTCATGGCCAGAGCCAGATCAAAATTGTGACAAGCAAACACAGAAAAAATGGGGTAGACTTTAGCTTTATTGTGGTTTTTGCGAGAGGGCGTTTCAGATATAAAAGGCAATTTACCCAAATTGGATAGGTAGCTCAGTGAAAACCTGCTCCGTTTTTTAGGGGGATTGATTATCCCAAAACGCTTCCCCATACTACTCAATCGAATAGAAAACAGTGGTGGAAGCCTGACTGATCAAGCTCAGGGGTAAAAAACACAGTTCCGGTGGGCGGGGAGGGTTAAGCAACCTTAGATGTGCGCAAACCCACGACGCCATATAAACCGATTGAGAGGGGGTAGGGGTCCCCTCGGAACATTTGACATTTGGCCAATTTAACGTTCCTACTTTTTAAAAAATTTTAATCTTTTTTAACTTTTTAAAATTTAACTTCTGCCTAACCTGTTCAACGGGCTTGGAAGCTTTTGAAGATGTCACAGAGCCGGCATCTGAAAGGACATGAACATTGATGGTTATCACCAAACGTTACAAAATCAATCACTTTACAGAGGTGAAGCAGAGCTTCGCACCGCTAGCGATACATAATATAATTTCCATAACTTTGTCTTGAATAATATTCACCTAGGAAAAATGAAGTTACATTTGCATAGAAACAAATCGGTAAAAACCGACAAACGTTGATCCACGAAAAAAGATGTGTGAAAACTATAGTTCGTCTGCTTATTTTTTTTCTTTGTTTTCGTTGTCGACATAAGCAATGCAATAGAGGCCCAAATATCAGAGAACGATATATCTATTGCGCACAGGCTACCATCTCGAAACGCCGGCAACAAGCCAGTAATTGTTAGATTCGCCAGAAGAATAAAGAAAATCGATCTCCTAAAAAAGAAAAAGAATTTGGTAAACCATGAAGATTTGAGAGATATCAAAATATTCGAAGATCTAAGTGCTGCAAGAGTCAAATTCCTCAAAATCATGAGGTCGGATGAGAGAATTCAATCCACTTGGACCCGAGAAGAAACTATTTTTTTCATTTGGAAAGCAGACGAAAAGTTGTACAAAATTAATGGGCATTACGAAGGTGGTCAGTTCCTGGAATATAAATTGGATGTTGTTAGAAACAGTTTCAATGGTGTTTTCCGGAGCTCAGCCGGACAAATGGGATCGTAAAATGGATAAAGTGCAGGAACCAATTAGCCATAAAATTATTGATGCTACTGTTACTTATTACTTTCTAATGTACGATCATTAAAAAAACACCACGAAGATGTGGAAGCACTTCTAAGTAGTCTCGAGTCTCCGATAAATTTACTAGGTCTTACAGAAACGTGGCTTAGGGAAATTGATGATGTTAACTTGTTTAAAATCACAGGTTTCCATACAATCATAACTAATACCAGAAAAACTAGAGGTGGGGGAACTATGATACAGCTAGGCGATAAGGTTAACTTATTAGAACAGCTTGAGAGTGGCATTCCAGAATCCTTATCAATCCTTGTTGAAGTTAGTGGTAAACAATTTATAGTTGTATTGGCATATGTACCCCCACGATATGACAAAGTTAAATTTGTCGATGAGCTCGATAAGGAACTAGAGCGTCTTGCTCAGTACAAAGTACCGATAATTCTAACGGTCGATATCAACATCGATACACTACAGAAAAATAAGTTACAGCAATCATATCTGAACACAATAACAGCAAATGGGTTCGAACTTTTGAGTAAATCTGCAACTCGAATTAGTGACACATCTGAAACTTGTATAGACCATTTTATAATCAGGAGTTTAGAAAATCCAACCATTGAAGTATTAGATAATGAATGCTTTTCTTAGCATTATCCCATAATATTGAAATTTAATTTTGGCTTTAAAGGTGATTTATCAAGTTATTCATATCGTGATATGTCGTTCTTAACAAAAGAAAATAAAATGAAACATTTTTTGTTAAGTTTGAAACTAAAACTTAGAAGATGCAAACCTGATCAGCGATAATAACATAGACCTTGCGTACAAAAAGTTCAATCACAGCTTAATGAAATCTCTAAACCATTTTTGCACCAATACGTAATATGATACACAAAAACAAAACTAATGCTCCTTGGTTCGCTAAAGGTTTGAAGAATTCGTTAATAAAAAGAAATCGCTTATACAAATTGTGGAAGTCAGACAAATTGAATTCTCTTTAAAAAGTTAACTTTCTTAACCAACGTCAAAAAGTCGAAAAACTTATAAGATTCGCAAAAAAAAGATCATTACTATCAAAAATTTAATAAATGTATTGGAGACTCGAGACAAGTATTTAAAAATTTAAATGAAATAAATGGCAAGACCGCAAAATCATCAAAAATTTCAGCTCTCCTAATCAATAACAATAAATTATCTGACCCCGTTCTAATGTCTAACGCTTTTAATGATTACTTCGCTTCAGTAGGAACCAAGTTAGCGAGCAAAATTGACCACGTGGGGCCAGTGATTAAAATAGAAAACGTAAGCCAATCTATGTATCTCTTTAATTGTACAATTTGTGAGATAATTGATGTGATAGAGCGTCTGAAGCCCAAGCATACTTGTGGCATCGATGAAATTAGTAACCTTTTTTAGTTAAAAGCAGGTATGTGTTAGCACCTTATTTAACATATTTAACTTATCTCTCATTTTGCTCCGGTATGTTTCCTCAAAGCCTCAAGTATGCTCGGGTTTTACCACTTCATAAAGCTGATAGCAGAATAATTATGAGCAATTACCGTCCAATATCACTTTTAAGTAGCTGCAGCAAAGTTATTGAAAAAATCATGCACTCGATTGTACAACTATCTTGAAAAATTCGAATTACTGTATCATCGTCAGTTTGGGTTCAGGGAGAAGTTTGCCACAGTTGATGCATTAGCTGAATTGACAGAAAGATTAAGACTAGGTGTTGATAAAAACATTAAATGTAGCTTCTTCATTGATTTAAAGGTATTTGATACGCTGGACCATAAAATTCTTTTGAGGAAATTAGAATGCTATGGAGTACGTGGAAAATGCTACAAATGGTTCGAAAGCTATCTATCCAATAGGTATCAATGTGTACATGTAAACAACTGTTCTTCTGATTGGTTGCAAGTGAACACGGGAATACCGCAAGGCTCTGTTTTAGGCCCTCTCTTGTTTTTTGTTTATATTAACGACATACAGCACGCAGTTTGCAATTCAAATCTGTTTCTATTTGCAGATGATACAAATATATCATGTCAAACATCTATCTATGAAGAATACCAGTTAGATTTGACCAAAATTTCTTCCTGACTTTGCTCAAATAAATTAACCTTAAACTCAGATAAAACTACTTTAATTAATTTTACTAAGGGTAGAAGTGCTTCCAATCTTTCTTTTGATATACTTGATTTTACTTTTCAGCCGAAACCTTTTTGCAAATACCTAGGTGTCATTGTAGATGATAAGCTTATTTTTTTTCACCATATACAGAATGTTCAATCAAAACTAGGTCGTCACTGTGGTGTAAAAATGAGACATTATGTACCAAGATCCATCTTACTGAAATACTATATGTCGAATATCAAGCCAATAATACAATATGGCTTGCTGGTCTACGGCGGCACGAGGTTTTCTTTTTTTAAACCCAATTTTGAATATGCAACGAAAAATTGTTCGCATGATCTGCTTCAAAAGTAAATTTGATACCATTACAAAATTATTTTCTGATAATAAAATACTGACAGTTCATGAGCTATATGTGTACGATTTGATGAAGTTTTGCTTACGATCACTAAATCAAAACCATCCAACTTGTTTTATCAATTCTTTGTTTACTTTAAAAAATTTTGCCTATAATACGCGAATTTCAGAAGGTCGAACATTTGTTCCACCATTCTGTAAGAATAAGGTAAAATCATGTTCTTTGACTGATAGGGGTTCAAAGTTATTGAATATTATGAGTATAAATAAGCTCTTACCTGAAAATATTGGATTGATGTCAAAAATGAAGAATACATTTTCGTCCATAAGTTTAAAGATAATTTCATTTGTGGCAATTACGAGTTGGTGCAAAACATATTTCTTTGATTTTTTTTTTAAATGGTACCCGCTGGCTATATGCTACCAAACAACCATTCTAGGGTTGCGATTCTATGCTGAAAATATGACCCTCCAAATCCTTGTAGTTTTCGAGAAATCGCATTTTTTAGAAAATTTTTAAAAAATGAAAAACTTAGAATTTTTTTTTAAGTATGTTTTCTCATATTCTTAGTTCGTCAGCTGGAATATGAATTGGCCGAAATGACAGTACTAGATGTAATAACTATTCCTTAATGAGAGCTTAATTTTAGGGGAAAATAAATTTTTCCCCACAATCCTATTTTTATTCGAATATAAATTTATCTTTATTACTTAGTTGCAATCCTAATTTGTTCAACGGGTAGACGTCAAGAAGGCACATACTGCGCCTTTTGTCTATCCCCTCCATTTTGTTGATTTAATAATTTAAATAAATTGATGCTTGTATTATCAACTATATGGAGAAATAAATTCTTCTTCTTCTTCTAAACTTTTGGTGGGATGGTTGAAACTTAGGGGTGATTGCAGAGGCAGTCTGTGATAGGTCAAATCTGGATATTAGAAGTTGAGGGACTGAGCGAGGAGGCTTCGGTTCCGGAGGGGGTGGGGTTAAAACAAAGTTAACAGGATACAAGGGGCAGTACAAATCACGGTGGTGTTCGCTTAAAAAATTAAGACCACTGCATTTAAAACTTATCCAGCCACAAACGTGGCACTAACTGGCTTGGGTTCGCTGAATGGTAAAATTACAAGGGAAATGTTTATATGGACTTGTGTAGGAGGATTAGCAGATGGAGCAGCCTGGCCGGCTTCAGACACTCCTTAAACGAAAACTCGGAAATTTCTTGATCTCGACGCCATTTCAATCCTGACGAACCAGAAATGATATCCACCACATGAATACAGCGTCGATAGGATCCAAGGCGGTGTCATTTTATTCCTCAACGCTTTCGATGCTTAAAGTGATTAACGTTTTTCCCAACCTTTGGAGAGCGTGATTTCTCTTTCATTCAACTTATAAATTCAAAGCGAATTTCTTTTCAAAAATGTAGATCGAAAGAATGAAAAAATTGAGCGTGAACAAAATTTGAGGACTTCATCCTGTGTAAAAATACAACAGAAATAGCACATGAACCAAATATGTGTCTGCATTTCCTTTTCGTTCATTGACACTTGTGTTTAATTTTTCTGCTGTTTCATCATTCAACACAGAATGCAAAATCAATAAATATTTAATTACTTTAATGTCTGTTCCAGTCTTCGCCACAGGATCCCTAAAACGGAAAAGATTGTTACAAATACTAGGTAGGTTGGAAAAAATTGCATCGCCTGGCAACTACCGGTACTTCCCCTCTTTAGCCCTTATCATATTATAACTCTCCTAATCCTTCTAAGAAAGATAACTCAAACTTAACTAAAACCCAATCATTAAACATTGTCAACTGACAAATGGAAAAGAGTAATGACAATAAGTAAACAGAAAAAACATGACTTGATTTTTGAAAAAAACTTCAATTTTCGAACTTTTAAGAAAAATTAGATGCCTTTGAAACTCTTCGCATTTTACGAAAAAAATCATGATTGGAGCTTTCTGATACAATTAACCTAACTTTTTTTCGCTGGAATACCTGATAAATGAATTCCATTTTCGTTTCGAAATTAGAAGTCGACCATGTTTTTCCTCACCTTTTATTTTTCCCTTCGATACTGGAGTAATGAAATGAACTTAAGAAATCAACAATCAAACCACGAAAAATCAAAAAAAATTACAAAATCTTAGACTTTTTTTGCAAACAAATTGATTTTTTTTCCAGAAAAAAAAACAAAAAAAAATCACCAAGACCTATATAAAAAAACTTACGTTCATTTCTTAAAATCCATTCAAAACTAATCTATCGAACCATCTGAATCTATGTATGTTCTTTTTTAACCCGCTGAAGATAACTTATTCAATCGGAAAGAATCTAAACTCCAAAAACTTTGAGAAGGCGCTACTCACTATGCAAAAGCAAAAAAAAAACATCGACGAGAAATAAAGCAGACAAAGATTTGGGAATATCGGCGTTTCTACAAATTATTGTGTACCTGATAATGCGGGGAAGATCTTTGTACAATAAATACTTAGAAATGATTTAGTTAAAACTGTATTAAACTCTGTGTGTTTTTGTATTTTGAACCTGCTATATAAATGCCATCAAAGCACTACAAATATAGCCTAAAAACTCGCCATTATTCAAATAACGCCATTATTCAAATTCTAGTTCATAAATACCTTATTGCTAACTACTTGTTAATGCAGTATTATAAAGCTAGTGAATAACTACCCACCCAAATATCTCATTTTTTATAGATTTAAATAGCTTTTAAAAGTTAAAAATCTTAAAACAAAGACAACAGACAATTAACGCAAGGAAACAGGTAAAAATCTGACTTAGTTTTTGAAAAAAAAAACAATCAAATATCGGATTTCAAAGCAAAACATCTGCCGTTACGATTCTCAGAATTTCGAAAACAACTCGTTCAATTTGAGAAAACTGGAACAATATAAACTTCTTATTTTTCAGCAAAATCAAAAATACCGATCCAGTTTTCGCATTAGTTTTTTTTTCTGTATCAAAAATACCTGATCCATTTTCGAAGCAAGAGATCGATCAAATTTTTCGCGACCTTTACATTCTTGTTGTTCCATAGAGGAGTTTGCCTCCCTAACAAAAGAAATAAACTGAAGTCAAACTGCCGAAATCAAACTTGAGCGTGAAGCATTTTTCCAGAAAAACAAAAACAAGAAAAATCATCACGACTTCACTATGCTCATTGACATTAAATCAAAATTTTTTGGACCAAGAATATGATTATAACTAGTACTCGCGTTCAAGTAAAAAGTATATCTGCATAAAAAAAACGCAAGCACAGGATATTGTTTTGCTCTTTTTGTGGATATACTTGGTAGGGATACTAGGTGCCATCTTAAAAAGGAGTACCTGTTCGATGATTGCTTCGAATATGTTGCACTGAAGCGGGATGAAAACTGTTAATTTAAAAAAATAAACGGTTGGACTTCAAAATTAAACTTGGTGGTTTCTCTAATAAATAAGGGATTACCAGTTTAATTAATTGAACTCAATGACGGTTCTGGTAGGTAGATTCCAACAAAAGAGTGGAAATTCCAAAACATTACAGGAATTTCAAAGTATGGTGTTGTCGTAAGGCCATACTGGCGTGTCTACAAAAAAATAGTGTAATTGTTTATGTAGGGAAGAACTTTGCACCATGCTCTTTCATTGAACCATTAATCTCAGAATTGGCCGGGTAGTTGTTGAGAAAAGAAAAAGCTTCCAAAATTCTACATCAATTGGGAAGCAGCTGCTTCTGCAGGGAAAAATTTCACACCCAGTTCTTTCGATTGAACCCGTAACCGCAGAGCCATTCATGTAAGAAAGATTTCGAAAACTTGTAGTTGCTGGTAGCTGGGTAATTTTTGAGAAAGAAAAAAAAAGATTCAGTCCAAACATTCCATTCTCGCATTTTGCAGGAACAACTGATTTGAATTACATTAAATAAAGCTTAAACTCCCTGTTGTGTACATATATGATTATCAAGTAAATAAATTATTTTCCTCTGTCTTAATTTTTTTTACGCTGAAAAAACTTTCTATTAAAATCAACTTCCGAAGCTAGAAGTGGTTCACCTTTTTTTCTCGCGCCTTTTTCGTTTTTATTAGTGGTGGAGAGCAAAATTTGCCTTTCTTCTGAAAAAGGAAAATGGAAGGAACTTAAAATCAAATCATGAAACTGAAAAATCGATTAAAACTCGAAACAATCACAAAAACTTGTGTTTTCACTACAATCATTGACACTAAAAAAGTTGTAGTTCAATTTGTTCATAAACCACCATTGAAGTTCAGTACTTACTTCTTGATTTCCTTTGCCTTAACGCATTCCACATCCATCCCAGTTGTGAACTTCACTGTGTCGGCTGCCCAAGACTCAGTCTTCTCGGCCGAAGACGCAATCGGGAAATTTGTAAAGGGAGATTTCGTTTCATCTCCTAAATTCTCTTTCCTAGGTGAGCTTTCCTTCTTATCACTTTCATCAATTGACTTAGGCTTCGATTCGGCGGAGGGTTTTTTTAAAGCTTTGTCCAGAGTTTTGGCTAAAACAACTGTCGAACAGTGCACGAATAAACCAAACAAGAACTTTTCAATCACGAAAGCCTGAAGGAAGTATGGAAAAGGAAAATTACAAATATCATTCTATAACTATTACTTAAATTAGTACTATTGCTACCGAATTTACAGACTACTTTTGCTATCATTCTATCGGATTCTAGCTTGTTTTGAACTCAATACTGTAATAAGCTGAATTTAGCTACGCCGTCCCCAGTCTCATACCATAAAGTCAAATACACGCTAGTTCGTTGTGTCGTGGTGTACACTAGTTAATAAAAAAAGTAAAGTCAAAAGTTCTTCTTTAGTGGTATTGATTTTTTATTATTAGTACCGGGTAGAGACTCGGTGGGCACTCAATGATTCTTTTGTCTTTTCAAATTGATGATCTTCTGTGGTTTTTTTCTAAAATTATAAGCAGAAATCTTTATTTCTTTTTTCTTTATTTCTATCTTTCTCTCTTTCTCTCTTTCTTTCATTCTTTCATTCTTTCATTCTTTCAATCTTTCAATCTTTTATTCTTTCATTCTTTCATTCTTTCATTCTTTCATTCTTTCATTCTTTCATTCTTTCATTCATTCATTCATTCATTCATGATATTTTATTCAATCTTTGTGCCTTTCTACGGTCCGAACTCATTGGCCCATTCGGTCCATCTAGCTTGATCCAAGTTTTGCTCCAGCTCGGGATTTTGTCTATTTTCGTGCTTTCTGTAAAACTTCGCTGGTTTCGAGAATTGCCGGGTTTTTGGCTATATGTAACTCTTACCTTTTCTTAACTATTTCCTGAGCTTTATCTAGCTTGATGATGGATTTGAGCCACTCGGTGCGCTCGAATATTTGTGATATTTATGTAACTTTTCGCTTCCCAATGTCGAGCTCCGCGCTATAACGATCTCATCGCCTGCTTTGAGTTTCTCTGGACTTACGGCTAATTCATGATATACATTCAACTCATTAGTAGTTCTGACCCTCGAGTTCTCGTTCCTAAGCTTTATCAAGATAATTCATTGCTTCGAATGTCCTTACTCGAAGTAGATATTTTCTGAGCGTCATCTAACTCTTCGCTTGCTTCGACTATCGGATTTTATGGATTCTACTTCTTTAGGTTTAGTGAGCTCTTTCCCTGCTTCTTGCCTCATCGTGTTCTTGGCTGGTTCCCAAACTTCACTTAGTTTTCGATCCACTTCGAGCCTCTGGCCTGTTTTCCCGAGCTTTATGTAGACATTTCCTTCCTTTGAACCTTTGCTCGAACTGAGTCTCTTCTGTTTTCTTAGCAATTTACGGAACTTTATGTAGCTTGATCTTAGCTTTCAGATATCAGAGTTATCGGCTTTTTTCTAGCTTTATGTATTTATTCGCTTGCTTCAAGCTTCTCTTGGTTCTTGGTGAATGTCTCGTGAGCTGTGTCTAGATTTTAGGCTGCTTCTAGCCTTTCTGTGTTCTTGACTTTTCTTGAGCTTTATCACGCTCAATCTTTGCTTCGAGTCTCTTTGGTCTCCGGACTATCTCGAGCTTCGTCTAACTCTTCGAAATCTTCTACTGGCTCAAGAACACTGTCGAGCTAAATCGAGCTCATCGCTGGCTTTGATAAGCTTATCGCTTGCTTTGAGCCTCCCTGGGTTCTCGACTGTTACGTGAGCTTTATCAAGCTTTTTGCTTGATCAGACACTCCATGAATTCTAGCCTTTCTGTGTTCTTGACTTATCTTGAGCTTTATCTAGCCCATTCTTTACTTCGAGCCTCTTGGGTCTCTTGACTATATCTCGAACTTCGTCTAGTTCTTCGATTTCTTCTACGGGCTCAAAAACACTGTCGAGCTAAATCGAACTCATCGCTGGCTTTGATAAGCTTATCGCTTGCTTTGTGCCTCTTTGGGTTCTCGACTATTACGTGAGCTTCATCAAGCCCTTTGCTTGATCAGAACTCCATGAATTCTTCGCTTCCATTAGAAACTTTCGGTCAGCCTTTACTTGTTCGAATCTCTGATTTTTGGATTCTACTTCTTCAGGTTTATGGAGATCATTCATTGCTTCTTGCCTCATCGTGTTCTTAGATAGTTGATGTTCTTGGCTAGTTCCTGATCTTCATCCAGTTTTCGACTCACTTCGAGCCTCTGGCCTGTTTTTTTTTTCGCGAATTTTATCTGGCTTTTCGCTTGCTTCGACCCTTTTTGGCTAATTTCTAAGTTTCATCCAAAATTTCGCTTGCTCCGTCAACCTTGTATCTTGAACTTTTCCAAGCTTTGTGTAAACAATTCTTTCCTTTGAAACTTTGCTCGCACTGAGTCTTTTTGGGTGTCTTAGCAATTAACTGAACTCTATGTAGCTTGATCTGAGCTTTGAGACATCAGAGTTATTGGCTTTTTGCTAGCTTCATGTATTTATTCGCTTGCTTCAAGCTTCTCTTGGTTCTTGGTGAAAGTCTCGTGAGCTGTGTCTAGCTTTTAGGCTGCTTCTAGCCCTTCTGTGTTCTTGACTTTTCTTGAGCTTTATCACGCTCAATCTTTGCTTCGAGCCTCTTTGGTCTCCTGACTATATCTCGAGCTTCGTCTAACTCTTCGAAATCTTCAACTGGCTCAAGAACACTGTCGAGCTAAATCAGGCTCATCGCTGCCTTTGATAAGCATATCGCTTGCTTTGTGCCTCTTTGGGTTCTCGACTATTACGTGAGCTTTATCAAGCTCTTTGCTTGATCAGACACTCCAGAATTCTGGCCTTTCCGGGTTCTTGACTCATATTGAGTTTTATCTAGCCCATTCTTTGCTTCGAGCCTCTTTGGTCTCTTGACTAAATCTCGAGCTTCGTCTAGTTCTTCGATTTCTTCTACTGGCTCAAAAACACAGTCGAGCTAAATCGAGCTCACCGCAGGCTTTGATAAGCTTATCGCTTGCTTTGTGTCTCTCTGGCTTCTCGACTATTAGGTGAGCTTTAACAAGCCCTTTGCTTGACCAGAACTCCATGAATTCTTCGCTACCATTAGAAACTTTCGCTCAGCCTTTACTTGTTCAAATATCTGATTTTTGGATTGTATTTCTTTAAGTTTATGAAGCTCATTCAATGCTTCTTGCCTCATCTTGTTCATAGCTAGTTCGTGTTCTTGGCTAGTTCATGTTCTTGGCTAGTTCCTGATCTTCATCTGGTTTTCGACTCACTTTGAGCCTCTGGCCTGCTTTTTCGCGAATTTCATCTGGCGCTTCGCTTCGTTAACCCTGTATCTTGAGTTTTCCCGCGCTTTAGAAAAACATTTCCTTCCTTTGAACCTTTGCTGGCACAAAGTATTTATCAATTTACTGAACTTTATGTAGCTTGATCTACGCTTTGAGACATCCTAACCTTTGATCTAAGACTTGAGTTATCGACTGATTCTTTGATTCGAACCTCTTTGGTCTTAGCTATATCTCGAGCTTCGTCTAGTTCTTCGATTTCTTCTACTGGCTCAAAAACACAGTCGAGCTAAATCGAGCTCACCACTGGCTTTGATAAGCTTATCGCTTGCTTTTTGTCTCTCTGGCTTCTCGACTATTACGTGAGCTTTATCAAGCCCTTTCCTTGATCAGAACTCCATGAATTCTTCGCTTCCATTAGAAACTTTCGGTCAGCCTTTACTTGTTCGAATATCTGATTTTTGGATTGTATTTCTTTAGGTTTATGAAGCTCATTCAATGGTTCTTGCCTCATCTTGTTCATAGCTAGTTCGTGTTCCTGGCTAGTTCATGTTCTTGGCTAGTTCCTGATCTTCATCTGATTTTCGACTCACTTCGAGCCTCTGGCCTGTTTTTTCGCGAATTTCATCTGGCTCTTCGCTTCGTTAACCCTGTATCTTGAGTTTTCCCGCGCTTTAGAAAAACATTTCCTTCCTTTGAACCTTTGCTGGCACAGAGTATTTAGCAATTTACTGAACTTTATGTAGCTTTATCTACGCTTTGAGACATCCTAAGCTTTGATCTAAGACTTGAGTTATCGACTGATTCTTTGCTTCGACCCTCTTTGGTCTTGGCTATATCTCGAGCTTCGTCTAATTCTTCGATTTCTTCTACTGGCTCAAGAACACTGTCGAGCTAAATCAGGCTCATCGCTGGCTTTGATAAGCATATCGCTTGCTTTGTGCCTCTTTGGGTTCTCGACTATTACTTGAGCTTTATCAAGCTCTTTGCTTGATCAGACACTCCAGAATTCTGGCCTTTCCGGGTTCTTGACTCATATTGAGTTTTATCTAGCCCATTCTTTGCTTCGAACCTCTTTGGTCTTGGCTATATCTCGAGCTTCGTCTAGTTCTTCGATTTCTTCTACTGGCTCAAAAACACAGTCGAGCTAAATCGAGCTCACCGCTGGCTTTGATAAGCTTATCGCTTGCTTTGTGTCTCTCTGGCTTCTCGACTATTACGTGAGCTTTATCAAGCCCTTTGCTTGATCAGAACTCCATGAATTCTTCGCTTCCATTAGAAACTTTCGGTCAGCCTTTACTTGTTCGAATATCTGATTTTTGGATTGTATTTCTTTAGGTTTATGAAGCTCATTCAATGCTTCTTGCCTCATCTTGTTCATAGCTAGTTCGTGTTCTTGGCTAGTTCATGTTCTTGGCTAGTTCATGTTCTTGGCTAGTTCCTGATCTTCATCTGGCTTTCGACTCACTTCGAGCCTCTGGCCTGTTTTTTCGCGAAATTCATCTAGCTCTTCGCCTCGTTAACCCTGTATCTTGAGTTTTCCCGCGCTTTAGAAAAACATTTCCTTCCTTTGAACCTTTGCTGGCACAGAGTATTTAGCAATTTACTGAACTTTATGTAGCTTTTTCTACGCTTTGAGACATCCTAAGCTTTGATCTAAGACTTGAGTTATCGACTGATTCTTTGCTTCGACCCTCTTTGGTCTTGGCTATATCTCGAGCTTCGTCTAATTCTTCGATTTCTTCTACTGGCTCAAAAACACAGTCGAGCTAAATCGAGCTCACCGCTGGCTTTGATAAGCTTATCGCTTGCTTTGTGTCTC